CCCTGTAGAAAAGCAACCGGTACCCCCTCACCTCTCTCAGATGAGCCAACCCGAACCAGAGACTTTTCATCTCCTGTCGGCTTTCCCCCAATATTCAGTTTAAAAGCTGCTCTGCCACCTTTTTGATTTTAAGTGCCAGCAGCCTGGTTCCTTCTCGGGACAAGTGGAGACCGTCTCGCCTGTACAGCTCCCTCTTGTTCCAAAAAGTATCCCAGTGCCTAACAAACCTGAACCCTTCCCCCCTACACCATCGTCTCATCCACGCATTGAGACTCCTGATCTCTGCCTGTCTCTCCGGCCCTGCGCGTGGAACAGGTAACACTTCTGAGAAGGCTACCTTGGAGGTCCTGGACCTAAGTTTCCTGCCCAGCAGCCTAAATTTCTCCTCCAGGACCTCACGACTGCATTTCCCCACATCGTTGGTGCCGACATGCACCACGACCACTGGCTCCTCCCCAGCACTATCTACCAGCCTATCTAAAACACGCGTAATGTCCGCTACCTTCGCACCAGGCAGGCAAGTCACCATACGGTCAGTACGCGGGTTCGCCACCCAGCTGTCTACCTGCCTAAGGATCGAATCACCCACTACCAAGAGCCCCCCTCCCACCCTGCTCAGGGATGGTTCCTTGGTGCAAAAGGAGAGCCGCTCACCAGCTGGGGAAGAGGTCCCTTCTGAGGGCACATTCCCCTTATCCTCAGCATGGTGCCCTGTTTCCCCTAGACCCTCATGCTCCCTGACAGCAGCGGGGCTGCCAGATCCAGAGTGGGACGAAGTCTTTTAAAATAAGTAAATATAATCCCCCTTTTAAAAACTTGGTATTTTTGTGTTTTTCTTATCGAAGTCAAATTACTTTACGAGAAAGACAAAGAGCCTAGGGCCTTGTCTTTCTGGCTCTTTTTGGGCTTCTTACAGAGTCCCTAGTCTAAGAGTCCCTAGGCTAAGAGCCACAGGCAAAGAGCCCTTTAGCTCGCCCTTCGGCTCGTGCCTCTGGCAAGGTGCTTTCTTAAATACTGAATTACAGTCAATTCCAGTCAAACAATGCCCCTTCCTCCCTCAATCAGCCAGGACTTTGCAACAACTCTAAGTGCTTCCACACACTGCAAAACACAGTTTTCCTACACAATATCCTCAGCTGAATCCTCTCAGCTGAAAGCAAGTTAAAAAAAAACCACTCACCCCTCTAGCAGCTCTCTCTCCTGCTCCTGCTCAGAGCTCAGCTGGGTCTCCTCTGCCTCTGGCAAGGTGCTTCCTTAAATAGAGGCCTCCCCCAGCAGAGGTCAGGCAGCAGCTATTCAAATTCACCCAGGCACTCAATCACAGGCAAAACAATGCCCCTTCCACTTCCTCTCAATTACAGTCAATCCCAGTCAAACAATGCCCCTTCCTCCCTCAATCAGCCAGGACTTTGCAGAGTCATTCTCTGCTCTCACTGGTCTTCCCCAAGTCTCTCAGCGTCCAGGAAAACAGAACACTTAAGTTGTATAGCAAAATAGAAACTGAAAGTAGACTGCTGCCAAACACACAGGACGGGTGGGGGGGGAGAATCCTGAATGGGCCTAGCCAGTTCAGGTCCAAGAGCTGGAAAAAATTTCATCCTTTGAAGTTGACAAACAGCTCAGGTTTTGATTAGTTACTTTCCAAATGCGTACTCTACATTATAACTTGCTTGGTCTTTTAAAACGGCAATGAAATGCCAGGACAAACCTTACTCTGCAAATCCTGCTGGTGTAGGATTGCCAGTAGGGTTGCCAGCCTCCAGGTGGGGCCTGGGGATCTCCCATTTTTACAATTGATCTCCAGCAGACAAAGATCAGCTCCCCTGGAGAAAATGGCTGCTTTGAAGGGTGGACTCTGTGGCATTGTACCATGCTGAGGCCCCTCCTCAAACCCTGCCCTCTCCTGGATCCACCCCCAAAGTCTCCAGGTATTTTCCAGCCCAGACCTGGCAACCCCAGTTGCCAGCCTCCAGGTGGTTACAACTGATCTCCAGGAGACAGAGATCACCTGGAGAAAATGGCTGCTTTGGAAGGTAGCTTCTATGGCATTGAAGTGCCTCCTCTTCCCAACTCTGCTCACCTCAGTCTCCACCCCCAAAATCTCTAGGTGTTTCCTAACGCAGAGCTGGCAACCCTATACTGATGTCATCACAATAAATGGGAAACCTTGGTTTGTTGATTGGACCATAAAATGGAGACAGGACACAGACACCCCCCCCCCCCAGAGCTGAAGGCAGTTTCAAAGGTAGATTGCTGCTCACAATAAGTACTGCTTCTGGTCAAAGAGTTTGTAGAGGTTTTTTGAAGGTGGAGGAGAGTAACATTACAAAATCTTGTTAGACTGCACAAGTAACAGTAGAACTATGCATGCACACTGTGGGATACTGTGCTTCTCTAATTCTGTAGTCAGGGCTTTAGAAAAAAGAGGTGCTGAAGTTTTCAGTCTGTATACTGAAAACTCATGAACTTTTAAACATTTTAAACAGACTTTGCCAAAAAGGTTCTGGAACTCCATTCTAGCACATTCCCCCACTAAAAAAGCCCTGCCTGTAGTTCTTCTTTTAGCCTTATATGAAATAAATGGACCAATTACATGGTAATAAGAGTGAATACAGCATAATAGTCCTTGAGCTTTCGATGCTATCTAAATGTTACAAAGAATTGGAGTATACTATGATGGATATAACAGGAACCTGGTATTCTCCACATGATACCATATGCAATTTTTATCAGATTTGGGACATTTTGGTGATGACTATGAGAAAAGTTTATGTATTCTTTTGACAGTCCATGAATGAAGAGTTCCTACACCAAAGCCTGAAGTAGCTTGGATAGAGAAGATTGTTGGTATTTATTCAGACTGCACTTGATTGTAATTCTTGTATGATATTTTTTGGGGGGAAATAACCAAGGCTGGCTCAAGGGGTTTTGGTGCCCTAGGTGAGTAATGAGCCAGATAACTCCCTGTAAGCCTGGTGGGCAGAAAGCAGTTGCCCCCCAAGCCAGAAATAACAAGGCAGACACAAGTGTTGGGTTTAACTATAGGGCCACTTTATTAACTGACAACTTTAGCTGTAACCAGCGGCAAGGGCAACACAGCATGTGGTATGGTCAAGGCCAGAGGTTGATGACCCCTCCCTTACCTCTTCAATAGGGCGAGCCACCCTGCCCCGGGTGGAAGCCCACTGCAGGGGCTCCCACACGGCCGGCTAGCCATTGCAGGACAACCCTGTAGCTCCATCCCCCAAGCAGCAAGGTTCAAAGAGAGGACCTAAACAGGGCCGTGCTGAAGGCAGTCCGTTTTCCCCGCCCCATGCCGCAAGACACAAAGACTGTACTCACAGGACCCCTTAAACCCCAAATGATGGGTGTCAGCTGGTGCTCACCGGACCGCAATCTGTATACCGCATAGCAACCTGCCTAAATGAAAGTGACCAACCTGGCTAACACAACTCACCCCTATAAACACCCTCCAAGTGCCAATCAGGAAGGGGTGAAAAAATTCCTACCCAGCCCCGAAAACTGGGGGACCAACAAATGCCTGCAGTACTAACAGGCCGTGGGCTGTTTGAAGCGTGTTGTGAGCGAAGCCAGGGACAGACACAGCTGGCAGGGATCTTCTCTTCCTCCTCCAATCTGGAAGTAGGGCAGGAGAAGGCAGGCTGGGAGAACAGGTCCTGGCAGACACAGTGTGGCTCACAAGGCTGCTGCTTGCTTTGATATGCACCACTTAAAGTGACAGAAGAAGGCCATGGGGTTTTGTGCGATTTGAGGAAACAAGAGAAATAATGGGGGGGGATTGATCAAAAGAGGCAGAGCATCAAAAGGGTGGCTAAACATATGGGAAGGGGGGAGAAAAAAGTAGACCACTGGATGGGAAATACGAGGGGAGATGGACCAAGAAAGAAGTGCCTTTCTCTCCCTCTCTGCTCTGTGTTCCAGGAAGAAGGCCCCAACTGCCTGTTGCCCAGCTGCAGCAGCAACATGGTAGCCAGAACTCTGGGACCTTGGCTGCCAGACACCCGGCTGCACCAGCAGGGGTGCCCGGGGCTGCTGCTTCCTGTGCCACAGCAGCCACCACTCTGGCTGCCCGATGCTGAGCTACAGCAGTGGTGTGATGTGCTGCCACCATCACAGCAGGGGCCGTGGGCTGGCTTGGTGTCTCTCCATATCTTGGGGAGACTGGAGCCCAAGGCAATGGCCTATGTATGGCTAAGGGGTGGGTCGTCCCTGAAAATAATGCTTAATATGTTGGAACTGTAACATAGCTCCTATCCCCAGCTAACTCTTCCATTGGCTGGGACAACCAAGAATCGAGCGTTATTGGCTTTGAGGCCTCAAGATAATGAGTCAGCCTTTTCAAACATAGTAGAATGTATAAAAGTCACGAGATTTTCTTTAAAAAAATGGTTGTAATTGCCATTTGCTTCTGAGCTTCTTCAATTTATCACCTCATATTTCCCTTCAGTCTCCTAGAAGATTAAAAATGTGATGTCAGCAAAAGTTCAGTGTTTCAAAGATCTATTAATTTTAATGGGATAAACTGAAAAGTACATTTCATTCTTTCACTGAGATAACAAGATATAAAAGTGCTTGAATTTTACTAGACCATGTCCTTACTTAAAAATAATAGAAACAAAGTGTTCGGAGCTCTAATAAAGAACAAACACAATAAAGTGGCTAAAGGCAGTGTTCAGGACTTGCATAGAGCTCTGGATATTCTGCACCTATGGAGAGCTATGTGTCTGGGAGATGCTGCATTAAGTATGCCACTGGACTGAATATTCCACTGGAAAGCCTTTGCGTGTGTCCGCATCGGAACTTTGGCAGCAAGGAGCAACTGCCTAGTTGTGTATTTCAATCCTAAATATAATTGCATACAAAGTTTGAAGTATTAGGGTGAATATATCTTTTATGTGAATCAAATTACTAAAAGAATAGTTTTTTATACATACACGACACACACACAAGTTAAAGGCAAATATTTTACATTATATCTTATAAAACTGTACAGTGTAATATTCTGTATCATGAAAAGAACTACTCAGATGAATGATTTGCTTTGTTAGTAAATATAAATCAGAGACATAATGACTGTTACCACTGCTGATTCTACTCAGACTGTATTGTATAGATTTTCAAAGACATTGTAAAAACAGTTGTCAAAAATACACATATTAGCCCTCTGCCCTCTCCCATCTAATGGTGAAATTGCAACTCCTTGTCATGCTGTAAAACACATCAATTTTATTTATTAATTAAAAAGCCCTCCTTAAAATAAGATGGGGAAAATGAAAATACTGAGAAAATGGCAAATAACGGATCCCCCCATTTAAGTTGATGTTTCTTTCATATTTATTTTTCCTATCATAGCACAATAAAACACTACATGTAATTAAATAGTCTCTGTGTATATGGCACACTGTAATTCACAGATCTACAGTGCATCAATACCCCTCTTGAATAGAGGAGAAACCCCGGGAGACAAAAACTTTTGTTCCAATTCAGCAAAGGCAATCCAAATACAGATCATCATCTGGACTGTGCCAGGGGGACTGGGTATTGCTGGACTGCGGAGAGCACTTGCCCACAATACGGATGGAACCTCTGTCAGCTGTGACAATTCTGATCACCTGTTTCTGATGAGACTGAGGGACCAACTCCAGCCACTCACTTCCCTCCTCAGATGCGCATCCCATCGCTCTGGATGAGGTTCTCCATTCTTATACCTTACAGACAATGGACACTTGATTCCATTTTCTATTTCCCTCCCCCATTTGTCAGACATTCACATAGTCTTAAGCATATGGTAATGAAATACATGGGCAAGGAAACACGTTTTCATGTTTCAAAATAACTCAGGAAGTGTTTCTACATTTCTTTTCTAAATGGTTAAGGCAACTATACCAATACATTAGACACAGCATATGTTTGTTATATTGCTTTCTATGTTCTAAACATTAAGAAAGGGAGGGGGAAACCAAGAGATTTAAACATGCTACAATCTTCTTGTACCACTTAGGAATTTTATCCAACTGGTAGATAGTGCTGTACTTCACTTAACATATAGTGGCTGATCCCTAGAGATATAACTTACTATTGAACTGCTCCTGAAAATGGATTATTCAGAGGAACTCATGTGAAAGATTAGACAAATAGACAACAGTCCATTAGCCAATGAGTAAAAAGGGGGAAATTCCAACATATTAATTTACAACTTGAACATTCTTAATTGTATCTATTACAATAACTTAATCTACTCAGGGTTCCTGTCTTCATCCTTTTTGCATCTTAAATAGATAAGATGCTCTCAAGAACCATTGCCAGAAATTGTGCACACACCGATGCTTTCTGTTAGCCAGTCCCAGACTAATGTTTAGCACTTCTACTAATATACCACATAATACTAGAGTGCACCATTTAGAGAGCCATTTAACTTTGTTTTCACTTGGGTAAGGCTGTAGGTATAAAATGACAGTGAGCAGAAATTCTTGCACAGTTAACGCAATGCAATGCAGCTATAACAAAGAGTGCCACAAAACTGCTAGCGCTGTGATAGTGAAGAGCAAGGTGGTTGAAACTCGATTGTCCATAACTTGATTGCCCCTGTTCTCTTTCAATTTTACAATAATGGTATCTGTGGAGTCTGCCTTTTTCACTGTTGCACTGGATTCATTCCTATCTCCTGAATTGGCTCTGAGATCATCTGGAAAACAAACAAACAAACAAAAAGAGGGAATTTAATATTAGTTGCTGATTTAGCAGATTATGTGCATCATAAAATGCTAGCCTTTGTAGCCTCTGCCACTATAATCTATTAATTGGAAGTAAGATATGTAATGGAGTGCTAAAATGGTTCACTCAGAAGTCTCACTAAATTCAATGGAAATTTCTCTGTAATAATTTTACATAAGATTACATGCACTTACTTGGGTGTAAGTCTCACTGAACTCAGTAGGACTTCTTCTGAGTAAACATGTATAGACTAGGATGTTAAATCTGATCCAAGTTCATCCATGTACCAGCTAACGTTGATTATCTGGATTTGATAGCTTACTCTAAAATGTACTTTAAAGCACCCATGAGGAATTCCAGTTTTGATTGAAGCAGTGGTGCTAGAGGGTGTGTTTAACCCTATCTCTGACACAATTTTTCAGATCTAAATTGTTCCCTCAAAGCTGCTATGACTTCTGTAAGGGAAAAATACATATAAAAGGCGTGTATAAAGGTACAGATACCTGTAGTCCCCCCCGCGAGCCCCCCCCCCCCCCCCAGGAACAGTCATCTATACATTTCCAAATATGACAAGAAGCCTAATTTGGACATGGAAAGTTTATCAAATGCAGAGCTAGTCATTTTGGCTCTGCATTTACTATCAGATCAGATAGTGAATCCTCATAGTCTGTTTCCTTGATATAGTTCCAGCCCATGGAATGCATTTTGTAAGGGTCAAATTTATTTATTTAGAAAGCACATATGCCACTTTTTCAGAGAACCTGTTTGAGGCAGCTTACAAACATGAGAAAATTATAAAAGAGCATAAAATTATTAGCAATTTAAAAAATAATCTTTAAAACAGTGATACACATAGAAAAGTTATGACAAAATAATTCTGTAATGGAGTTAGGTCAGATATAGACAACCAGATAGATTTTTTAAATAAAGACAACCTTGTGATAAGTTTCTAATAGGTACTTAAGATCAGGGGTCATTTCGTAGAAAAAGAGCTAGGGGGACTCATTAGCATAACTCATTAGCATAAGCCACACCTCCTGACATCACCAGAAGTGTGTCCTCCCCACAGCCGGCGGCGACCTCCAGCGGGCACCAGCAGGGAGCTCCAGGCCCCGCCCTCCCGCACCTCACCCGGAGGGATGGCGTCCCCCCGCGTCCCCCCCCAAATGACCCCTGCTTAAGATCATGGACTGAAGATCCATCAGGATAATCACGTCTAGTTGAACTATCTCTCTCTATACTAATTCTGTTTTAGTCGTGGACTCTCCTGAACATTCCACACGCTCCCAAATCAATTGACTCCCTGATCTGTCACTCAGAAGCTGTCCCTATCCACTGGCTGCGTTGCCTGAGTCTTGCCTCCAATATTCTGAACAGTTTGCTGTTCCTCTCCCCCCAAGAGCCAGTCAGAACACAGAGGTCATTTGCATATGTGGCCTGATTGGACTTTGCCTCTAACATTCTAAAGAGTTTGTGGTTGCTGTTGGGAGTCATTGAATGTGCCCTGAGGTAAAATACATATCCCAATTTCCCCTTAAACAGTCACTGGAGTTGCCAGTCTCCCTGTGGGGCCTGAAGATCTCCCAGAAATCACCGTGTTCCCCAGCCACAGCACATCATTTCCCCTACAGAAAATCCCCCAGCTATTACAATGGGTACTCTGGGCAGTGGACTCTATGGCATTATACCCTGCTGAAGTCCCCCCGCACCCCAAACCCTGCCCTCCCCAGGCTCTACCCCTCAAATCTACAGGCCTAGCCCTCCCCTTAGTATTGCCAGCCTCCAGGCAGCACCTGGAGATCCCCAAGATAAGTTCTCCTGGAGAGAATGGCTGCTTTGGGCAATGGACTCTATGGCATTATACCCTGCTGAGGTCTCTCTGCACCCCAAACCCTGCCCTCCCCAGACTCTACCCCTCAAATCTACAGGTATTTCCTAACCCAGAGTTGGCAACCCTGTAACTGGCTATGGAACTGCTTTCCAGACCCTTGGAACCCAGAAGACATGGCATAAGAGGAGGTGTTTTTCTACCTTAACTGCCATTGCATAACCACAAATCAACATAAGTCAGGGGTGGAGGGAACCATACCTGTTACCATGAGGCTGTCCTCCCATACTACCCACTTGGGGCAGCAAAATGACTTGAGACAGCCCTGCCTTATAGCTAAGCAGAAGGAAATAAACATGGCTTGCCTCCCTCTATTTTCCCCTTCCCTCTGCCGCCCCACCAGCCACAGCTGGGACACTCACCTGGAGCTTCCTTCTAGAGCTCGTTGTATTTCTTCCCACAACAGGCCTTACCCCTAGTTTACCATATTTAGGTTCATACGATGACTTCAAAAAGTCATCCTGTGAGTACCAAACATTATGCTAGACCAAACTGTGGCTCACAGAAAATAATGGAGATCTTCTGGGAAAGAAATTCAGTCACGGATCATTAATCTCATCATGCCTGCATGATGAAAGGTCAAATGATGCTGTTGACATCTCTGTTGTACAGAATGATGTTTATGTGATGGCTCTCTATAAACTGATTGCACATCAAAACTGTACAGATAGTGACAGCAAGGAGTACTTTTCAAATCTTTACTTGGGATCATAAACTAGTCTTAAGTAGAACAAACAACAGTAAACATAAACATATAATTTCAGCGGGGTGTACATGTCTACGGAATTTTCACTGGCTGAACTAATTTCTTTGCCACATGGATGTCTCATTATATTAAAATGTATGCATTAAATCAAGCTTTGTCTCTGTGCTTGTGCAGCCACACTGCACTTCTAGTCTACCAGTGGAGTACCTCAGAACTTAAGCAATAAATACAAGCTAGGTTGATTTAAGAATAGAGGGGAGAACAATGTAAACTGCTTTGAGTCTCCAGGGACAAACAAATAAATGAAATTGCTCCTCCCTGCTGTTTCAACATAAAAAATCCTAATCAAATCAAACTCATGATTTTCATGTATTTCTTCCTCACCAACTTTCCCCAAAAAATGCATGCATTTTTGAATGTTATTTATGCATCAATAAACTATCATTATACATGATGTTGTATATTGTATATACTGAGTGACTGAAACCTGATTGGAAGAAAAAAGTTGGTTGTATTTGTCCCAATTAATTTCACTTGACTGAGCAGGTCCTTCATCAATCCCAAACTGGAAGATGGGGAGGGCGGTGGCAGCTCATTCACGCGGAATCTGCATTTGTCTTTCCCACCAGTGTCCCAGCCTTTTGACTCTGTCTTCAAAAAAGCTGTCTACATTTGGTGTCATTTTCACACATCAAGAGTGCTAGCATACTTTTGCACGTCCACATATGTTTATCGTCCTTTGGGGCAGCTCCACTGTCATTGCACCTCCACTCCGCTTTAAAAGAATCTTCTCCACACAACATTCAAACAAGCATAGAGAAAGACGGCGTCACAGCAGCACGAAAATGATTTAAAAATGCAAATGCAGATTCGGCCCCAGTCTTTCCTGTTTTGCAAACTATAGATGGCATTGCTGGTTTCTTCCTTATGTTAGGATCCAGGGATGGAATGAATATTCTCCTTGCTTACTAGCCACCTAGTGCTCTAGTGGATGCCCCGCCTGACCTGTCAGGGGTGATATTGGGCTTGGTACTTGGGTGGTTTTGGGCTTGGTGATTGATATGGGGGACTTCATTAATTTTGAGGGCAACTTTATCTGGACCAGTTCAGGATTTTGTACCCTTACTTGGGTTGTGACAAGTCTAACACATGAAAAGGGACATAACTTGGACTTAATTTTTTACCCTGAGCCTCTGAGGTAAGGTCTAATTCAATATGTTCATCAATATGCTGAAGATTCCCAGATGTAAATTCCTTTGTCCAAAATGCCCAGAGGTCCTGACCCAGTGAGTGGTTGCTGGGATTACTTGGGTTACATGGTTAAAGGTGAACAAGCTGAAACTGAATCCTGAGACTGAATCCTGACAAGATAGGGGTAATACTAGTTGAGAAGGCTAAGGTCTTGGAGGGCATTGTGCTTCCCACATTTAATAGGGTTCGGCTGACTCTTGATCAAGAGTCTAGGGGTCATACTGAAGTCATCTGTTACATTGTATCTTTGTCTTAGCTATCTACCCTTTGTTAGCTCAACATAGTAATGGTGGCCATCAAGATGGAGCCCAAGTGTGAGAGCTCCTTCCTGTAAGTGGGCCCCAGATGAAATCAGCCAAAATGGGTCTTGTCTCCAGGAATTTATTACCTCTCTTTGCCCTTCCCACTTTGGGTCAGTCCTTCTCTTCCTGTCCTTCTCAGGAAGAAATACAATCTAGCATTTGGCATGCCCAAGTCTCTGTCACCTCCTAAGTGAGATGGCCCTCTGACTACTGTCTGCCAGCTAGAAGTATTTGCATAAGGAAGCCTTAAATACTGGGTGTGTGAGAGAGCCATCAATGGGATGGGGATGCTTGAGGGCAATTAATTTCTCTGCTTCCTGTCCTTGTATGACCAAAGAGACTGGTGGGTTTTGTGGGTTTTGTGCCCCCCCCGACTCTCCATTGTATGAGCCCAATGTGGAGTGCAATTCTCTACAATATGATTTCTTGTTTTTACTGTATTGTTTTCTAATTTCTGTAATACAGTTTGTAAATTTATATTTCATGTTCTATATTGTTCTATTGAATTGTTTTGTAATGTAATTCATTCTAATTACAGTGGTTATTACCTGTCTTATATTGTTCCTATTACATTACTAAACTTTGTAATGTGCCTTGAATCTCAGTGAGAAAGATGGACTGTAGGTAAATAAATATATAAAAACATTTACATTGGGTTTGAAAACCACCAACATCCATATACAATACAAACAAATCTTTAACATCACCTGTAAAAACAGGGAACTGTAACCATCCACAGAAATATAAATGGACCAACAAAGAAATACCGTAAGAACCTTTCCCTTATCCTGAATATAAAGAATTGCTACCCATGATTGTTTTGA